TTTATTTTCAGTGTTTGGTTAGCCGACTAATATTTAACCTCAAGACTTTTGCTGGTAGATGTTATTATTGAATTATTCATAGTTGTGAAGTAGTATAAATATTAAATGCTCTCAATCAACATGTGTACTCTAAATGTATATTATCAATATTCGTACGAGTATGTTCACATTTTGTTAAATTCAAATACATTTGTGTTTGTGTCATGTAGATTTGTGTACTTAACGTCATTGTCGCAACAAGCAATAATTATTTACGAGCGAGACCTGGGGACTAATTCTCTGCTACAGAAGAAGGTAAGCCGCATTTCCATGTATACTAAGATGAAAATAAGCTCATACACGTGTTCACTTTAAAACAAATTTTCCTTTTCTCTAATCAATCCATTAAAGCTTCGATAGCTAATAAACCATACAAACACTTATAAAGATATGTTCAGCAAATAATATATATTCCGCAAATTGTGCTCTATTACTGTCCGATTTATTTTGTAATTCGTGTAAAGCTGGATTTCAGGGGAAACTAGTTAAACAAATTGGGAGCGCGGCTTTTCACAGTGGTGATGCGCAGTTGCCGAATTGCGAGTTGGTTCTCGTGTTTTATGTTCATATGTAATTTCGATAGTATGTATTTCTTAATTAAGGTCTCCTTCCACTAATCAACCAATCAATTTAAATGCCTTGCAAGAACCAATGAAATAGGTGCTTCCTGTTTGAGGGCGTAATCACCTGGGTCAAAGGTGAGACCAACATATGGTCTTTTGTTTACTACTTAGCGGCTGTGTACCAGTGGGTTTATTCTGTGTGTATTTGGATGTTCTAATCTTGGTGTTATTCCAGTGATTTCTCTAGGTGTAATCCAAATACAGTAGGTGTGTTTTGTTTACCTGAGATTTGTAAAGAGTTTGAGCTGGCCAACATGTTAGTTTATTTCATGTGGTTGATTACTGGCATGTTGATTTCCCATTTTTGAGGCATGTTTTCAACTTTGTTCATCATTTTCATATAGTAATCTCGTCATATGTTAACATTGTCGTATATAGAAATTCAATTAGTGGTATGAGCCCTGAACCATTCTCCGTTCATTGCGAGGTCTCGCTTTACACTGTTCACGTTCGTGTGGCCGAGCCGTGGATAAATGC